ATTCAGAAACACATTTGCATACCACCGCCATTTTCTAGGTAAGCACAAATTAATCTTTCATTTTATTAATATATCATAATATGGCCTACTGGGGTGCGCAATAGACTTACCTCCACTTGGTGCACCCTGGGCAACATAAACTCATACGGCAAAAAGTCTATTTACTGGCAGTTGACTTCTGACTTCAAATCACTAAGACCCGACTATTTGTAATACTCGATCCCTTTCATAGTACCCATCTTACCTTTTCTATGCCTTTGTGTCTGTCTGTCTCTTTTACATCTGTAAATCACTCTTCTTTTCCCCCCTCTCGACTTTTTGTCACTTTGATGTTCCACCTCCTCTCTGTGAAGCCTGAAGCCAACTAAAAGGCTAATGATAACTATCAAAACGCCTACCATTCGATATAAATAAATAATATGGCATAGTTTGCCAGATCAGTAGAAGCATTTCTTGCATTTGAGCTACACACTGCACGGCTGATGCTGCACCTAATTGTTAAACGAGTAGACGTGCTACCATATCACTGTATGTTGCAGCACAAAAGGTTTATTCACTTGACAGAAAACAGAGTGGACAGATTGCGTTGTAAGGATATGTTTAATTATTTGCAACGAATTGAGATATGGTGCCGATTCACCTAGTTTAAATTGCCATGACATGAATTCATTGCTTCCTATGCCTCCGAGGCAGTAAAGCTTGCATTATTATAGAGGGTTATAATATAGGATACATTTAAAAAAATCAAAAAAGGCATACTCAATGTTGGAATAACACGCTGATTTATTGGATCACAAATCCTGAGTTGTTAGCCTCCGGCACAGCGCAATAAGAATGCATGCTTAAGGGTAAGCATTCTTACAACCACTCCTAGATTTTGACAACTAGACCTAGGGCAATCCACCTCGGCGCATACTAACCGAATAAGCATCCATAGATCATCGGTTAAACCCATTTTGTTCATTCAAACAATCCTCACAACTTGATGTCAGTATGCACGAAAAGTAGCTCAACTCACTTCCTGAGACCTCTACACCCATTACAGCCAGATGTAACAATGAACCCGAACATCCACATCAAGAATTAAATACCTCCATTCTCACTTGACAGAATGCGCCTTCAACAGATACAATTATCAAAGCCACAAAAGGCAACTATCGGTAGACTGAACCCCAGACAACCCGGAGAAGTAGCACGCCTCTCGAGACATACGCCGACAAGAATATTCCTGTTACCGAGAATTACAATGAACAAAACTATGCATAGCATCAAGATTATACAGCGCAATTATGGTAAAAAGGAAAACAGACGAATTTTTTTGAGAGTAGATAGTTTATTGAAAGCAAAAACAATCTGAAATTTTATAAATATCCGAAATTATTAACTTACACCCAGCCTTTTGTCCAAAAATACATTACCCAACCCAAAAAATTACCAGACGTATGCTCAGCTCCATAACAATTTAGACACCAATCCTCAGTACCGTAACAGACTGGAGGTTGGGCCAGAAGTTATGGAAGAGCATACTCCTCATTTTACCGACCCAAATTCGGTGGGATGGAGGGCTGAGTAGACCCTGGCGGAATGGGGAAAAAGAAAACCGCCGTTACCGTTTGATTAATTGCCACTTTATTTGAAAAACAATACAATCGTTTACGCAGCAGGGACGGAAATTTCTCCTCGGTTTATTTTTTCAATTATAGTTTGAGGAGCTTCACCATCAATCATGCACCCGATAGAACGCGCGGTACCTTTAGAAAACAAAGGTTAGGAGGAAACATAAAATCTAATCAAATCACTCAGATATGCATACCCAAGACCTCTTTTACAGTTCCCGAGAGTTCAACTGCGAGTGATCGGGGACGCATAACTCGTGCAACCTCGAGAACATCCAAGAAGGTAATACTGCCATTGTGCTTAATGTTCTTGACTTTCTTCCTGTCACGAACGGGCTCTTTAAGTGCCTTGATCAACAAAGAAGAAGTAGTTGGCACGAAGGAAACCGTGGCTTGACGGTTCTGAATGGTCAATTTGACAGTCAAACGAAGGCCCTTCATATCGGCTGTCTCCTTAGCGATATCATCAGCGACTTTCTTGGGTGGAAGCCCAAGGGGACCTAACTTGGGGGCGAGAGCCGAAGTTGCAGCAACTTCACCACCAGTCACACGCAAGTACACTAAATAAGTCAATAATTGGTCATTTATTGAGACAGCAAATATTACCAATGGTTACAGCAGTTGGATCAATCTTAGGAGGCATGCTCAGTACCACGAATAAGAAGCCAAAGTGCCGCTACCAAATTTTAGCGCATAATAACACCTTCAGCGCGTATAAAGAGACGAAAATTCTTTTATTAGTTGCTGTTTATGCATAAAAACATAAATAATTTAACGAAATTTTATTTGAAATAAAACTGTGGTATTTTTAGGAAACCTCAAATTATAAATTATGTATCCTAATCCTTTATACTGTTATTTCTTTTTATAAAGTGGCAATAAAACAAATATAGAAAAAAATACAAATTTTTTGCCTTAATTAATCATTGATAAATAAGTAGACACTTTTCCTTATAAAATCTATCTTTTATTTTCTCAGTTCCTTCCGGTGGCATACATGAAATAAATATAATGATAATTAGGAGCTTTTATTTCGTTGTTAAGAACCTTTTAACGTTATCGCCTTTTTTACTATGGAATATTGTCATATTCCTATTTGTAATTATAAATTGTAATCTTATATATTTCCGAACGCTTATTATCAAACACTCTGACATCGATATCAATTTATATGTGTAACTAAAATTTTTTTAAATTGACAAAACATAAATTCTTCCATCGAATAATTATTTAGTAGACATAATTGCTAGTCATTACCATTTTATTCATTACCTTACTTAACGTGTTCATAACCTTTTAAATAGTAGCATGATTTTAGTGCATTGCAATTTTTTAATCGCCTGCATGAACTTTCACATTTCGATACCATTATCTTGTCGACACTAATAAATGGCTAAATGCGTGTTAATATTCGAAATTATTCGTTATTTTGGCACAATTTCATATTCTAAATTTAGATAGATTTCCATGATTTCTATTACATTTTCTTTGGTCCGATTGATGTAAATTTACTGAAATAAATTTTAGAAGATGCTAAAATATTGATTGACTTTTAATTTACAATGAATACACTCTTTCCTGCGTTGTTTAATTTCGTTCAGTCAAATTGATATTTAAAGAAAGGGTTCAAATATCAATATGGAATAATGATGATACTTGGTTAGTGATGTAGCAACCCTATTTTTACAAGCTTATACTAATAACACCATGTTTGATGAAAATTGTAAATAATAGCCCTACGTCTGTCTTGAGGGATAAAATAATTGAAATTTTGTTTCTTTAATCTTAAAAGTTAACGTAGCACTACGCAATAATCAATTGAAACAGAGCATACGTCATTGTTAATACTTTATGTAGAGGCTAATATGCTCGAATTATATAAAATATTACTGTCAAATGTTAGGTTATTCTTGACTCTTTTGTGAAATAATAAAATTAATTAAGTAATGAATTGTTATTTGTAAATGAAAATTGCTCTTGGATCATATAGTTTTAAATTCAGCGATTTTTAGTAGAGCAGCTTCAACTTGTTAATGCTAGGCTTCGGCTTAACTGGTAGTCCTTAGTAATTTCATGCTAATCATATACAACAAAACATATGAAATACCATTGTGTTATGAATTTACCGTTCAAATAATAATTGCAAATAACAACGTTGAAGAGGTTTCAACATGTTGCTTAATGACCTCCCTTTCCCTTAATGATAGCTTAGATAAATAATAGATTGGTAAAAAATTAAAAATGGATTGACCTTAAACCCAAAATGCGGACTTTAAATAGACATTTTAGGTAAATGTAAAAAACTACTGTAAAAGTTGGTTTTTGGCTACATAGTTCTCCTATCAAAGGCTTCATTTTTCCTTAACAAATAATTCATGCATTTACTTTGATTATTATTAATACTTTTATTCTATAGGTGGAATAAAATACTGAGTTATTTTCATTTCATGTAATCACTTTTCAGAATTAAAATTAATTTCCCTACTCAACTTCAAAATATACCTTTATTCAATATATAAAATATGTCAAGTCCGGTGTTTCTTCTGGAATTATTTTTAAACGTTAAGTGCCGTTTCTGATATGAAATTGATAAAGAGAGACTCGAAGCAGCAGTGTGCATGACTTTGTTTCAGATGAGTAATTGACACAGAATATACCCAAGTCGCTCATTATCCTTATGTCAGTTTCTGATATCTTGGATGAGAACTTTTATCTATTCGACAGTGTTTTAATTCCTCAACACTGGTAACATGTCTAGTGCATTTATTCTAACATGTGGTCTTTGTCGGTAATTATTGGCATCTTATTTGGAACAGTCCAGTGAAAAGTCAAAACAAAATAATGACCGAAATACATATATCAACGTTTATAGCATCTGTGAGGAATACATTCAGAAAAAAATGTTCTTAAATTAAAATTGAAATTTCCTTCAATTGTCTTGCTTTGTGCGAAAACCCAATTGTAATCAGAATTGACTTAGTTATAATCGAATTCGGTGCGAATCAATTTTGAAGTTTGGTGAGTGTTGACCAAAGGCGTCATCTTTTGCCGCCTTGCGTTATTTACGAAGACTGAGGTCAGACAGTGTGCCTCAACTAGAAGACAGGAGATAAAGGAAAGAAGGTTACTTTGAAAGGTCACCATTAAGAAGATGAGCGGAATCTTCCTTACAGGTCACTACCAGAAATTTGTCAGCATCCGATAAGGAAAAAACGAAAGTCATCCTATCTTAATGAACTTCATTAAATTATAAAACAATAAACTCAGGGGGCCAATTACTGATGAGATTGTATTTATTGAGAGGAAACTAGAATAAAATTGTTTACTATTTGTCCTGATTTTGGTTACCCGAGGAGGTTAGATTTGCCTGAAAGCCTATTTTAAAGTCTGATAAGGGGACAATTTCACTGAGAGAGAGAATTTCGTGACTGAGAATTCAAATGATTAGTATATTCATTTACGTTGTTGTGAGTACGAACTTACTCGGGGGGGGGGGGTCATTTTAACTATATATTTTATTTAAAATGTCCTTTGTTTAATATCACCTAACTTGGTATTTTGTTTGTGACATTAAGTGCTGTAAATATCCTGTCAAAATTCCGATATTCAAATAGCTATTATTACTGATTTATAGTAAATTTTTACAATGCAAACATTATTTTCCATTTACCAGTGTGGTAACTGGCATCACTAAATCCCTTCCTCCAGGGGGTAGAAGATGAAAAGGAATAAAGTCCTTGAAATGTTTGGCACTAAAGACAGGCATAGAATTTTATCTTCTTTGAACAATCTTCTTTAAGGAGAAAGATTTTGTGAAGCTCACATAAAATGAAGGGAATAGTGTTCAGGTAGGTAACTCGTCACATCTATGTGGAAGTAGCTAAAAAGAGGCCTGTGGCAGAAATTAATCGATTACTTATACAACTGTAACAAGTTAAACAGTTGGCAATTTAAAATCTTAACAATTATAAAGTTTCTAAAAATAAGTGTGTAACAGTTTCACTGGGCATGAAGTGTTTGTCCACATTTGTTAGACCCCTTTCAATTCCAGTTCGTTGACGAGACAATATACGCAGGAAAACGTAGAGAAGCACAAAGTAGACACCAGTGGAAGTATTGGGACTCTTTAGTACAAGATACTGGCTTGGTGAGTTGTCTGGTTTCAGTCTTTTATTAAACTTAAATCGAGGAGAAGTTGTCCACCTAAAGCAATTGTTAAGCCGGTCGCGTATGAAAAACATATGGTCACATCTTTGGTACCAAAGCAGTACCTCGTTCTTGATGCGAAACCACTTACATTTGTTAGTTAAACACTGCTATTTTTGTTGGAATTCCCTTGAGATTGAATCTGATGGTCTTGGAAATGGAACGTAACTTTATTGGGCTATTTTAACTACAAAAGTAACGTACAGCTAAAGACTTCTTTAGTAGTTTGGTTAATTTGAAACATGATATTGTGCAAGCTTCCTCTCTAGCTCCCACTAATACGTGATAATAAAAAAATATCGGGGATGGGGGAGGGGGTGTGGGGGATTTTCACAGGCACACAATGAAGAAGTCTTTCGAGCTGAAACCTGACTACGGGATTTCACTGAGAAATCTTTTGAGCTAATTCTTTCCTTATTGTGGCTTTTCGAGGGCAAAATTCCTGGATTAGCTTTCAAATAATAACAATAATAGTAATAATAATTAATAATAATATAATTTGGAGGGGGTGAGGGTGGGGGGTGGGGTAGGGAGGGGTGTCATCAACTGACACCATTTTCCATTTTTAAATACTAAACTGTGGATGGGGATGCAAGTACTCAATGAAAGTATGATGAGAAGAACACCCCTATAATAGTCAATACTATGTGGTTTGGGGGTGTGCGATAGACTTACCTCCACGTGGTGCACCCTGGGCAACGTATATTCATACGGCAAAGAAGTCTATCAATGGGCAGTTGACTTCTGACTTCAAACTGCCATGATCCCACTGTAAGCCATATTCGACTACCTCCACAGTACTCACCTAACCTTTTTTCTACCTTCGTCTTTGAAGCACTCTTCTGTCCCCCCCCCCCTCTCGACTTTTTTTCCACTTTGATGCTCCTTCCCCATATATGAAGCCTGAAGTCAACTAAAGGGCTAATGTTAACTATCAGAACGGCTGCCATTTGACATAAACAAATAAATACTAATTGGCTCTATTTACTCCAATCCTCCAAAATTGGTTCCTCGCAGTAACAAAAAAGAAAAGCTTATGCCAAAATTGGAGGAAACCTTGCTTAGGTAAATTAATTGTGATTTTAGGAGTATGAGGTAATGTTCAGTGGTGATATCATGAGTGCTAAAATAGCATTCCAGGGTTTAATAAAAAAATTGGTGCTCTGTTGTTCCGCTCTTAATTAGCTTTTGTTTCAACGGTGCAGCATGGACCGAATCAAAGTCTAATTTGACACGCATATTTACCGCTTCGATAGTGCAACAAAATAATAATAATAATAATAAATAAAACAAAAAGATGTCACTGAATTGGAAAAGATCGTACAAGATCAAAGAATATAAAACATTTTGTCACTGGAAAACTCATTAATTTCCAATTTGATTATAGTATATGGCACATTATAGGTGACTCTTTGTTTAAGGAAACACGATATTTAC